TGACGTATTACCGATGATGGTAACTATGTTACCGATATCGCGCGATTTGTTTGTTCACGACCAGGGTCAACTGTCACGCTTGCACCCGTCGCTCTCGCATCTGAGCGCGCGCTATTCTCGCGCTTTGATTAGTCAGTGTTTTTCATTAATGATTCAAAAACTAAGCTTTAACCAGCATTTTGGTAAAGGAAAAAGTTGTTCAGAATCACTCCAGCTACAACCCCCTAAAATTATGCCCACCAGTAGCCGAACACCCTGTATATACTAATACATATAATGTATGTATATCTGTTTACATATTACGTTTGAATGTTAGTTATGTTAGGTTGGGTATCGCAGTAGATTTGTCATATTTATTACGACACAGTAATATGGCTTATTAACAAGTTAACTGCTATGGTAAAAATAAACATATGCAGTAAAACACAATGCCATATCGTTTGCTGAAGAGATGTTGATGCAATTTCACAATTTAAATTTTCAGTTTAACATTACTGGCATTATTCGACAGTAGATACGTGTCCACAATATTAGCATAATATTCACATTGCGTACATTTATTCTTTCCCTTTTAATTCTGTAGTTGTGCAGTTGAGTTATGTTATGTTGGTAATTCCAGTCATCAGTGATTCTCACAGCATTTGACGCGTTAATGACCTAAAACGATACATATCGCATAATAAATGTCAAATAGTGTTACTGTTCAAAATTCGCACCCAATGAATACATGTCATTGTTAGTTTAATACGAATATTCATTTCATATAATTTTTAGGTATATCAAAAGTAATGTTCCAATTTTTAGTCTAAGATTCTAAGATAAAAATTTAAAGATATAGGAATATAGTAACCTAGGTATATAATTATCCGTATATAATATAGAGATCTGGGCACCGAGAAGTCCAGAAAGGGGATATAGGAATCTATGATTATAGATATTTACATCATAGGAATCGACGATTACAGAGATATAGGCTATAGGAATCTACATAGGCGCGAAATAAACGCGTTATATTTTTACGATACATACATATAACAATCAGATGTTAGGGTTAAGAGAAGTCAGGTTTTCGTTGATGAAAAGCTTTTAGACAATATCAAATACGCAGTAGCACTCTTCAAAAATATCTATACCTAAATAATTAATTACCTATCAAAAATATTCATTTTCATCTTTAATTTTTGTGCATACAAAAAGTAAGGCTAATATTTTAAACGGTGTTTATAGAATAACAAATTGATGGTACCAGGTTCTGATGGGATCATTAACTTTCAGCATTTTCAAAAGGATGAAAGAACGATCCGCCAGGCGTGTTTCCAGCTCGACGACTAAACGCGAAATCGTTAAAGACGTCGCAACTCCTTCACGACCGCTAGCAAGAACATTTTTACGATCGATTCACATATCACGGCATCGAATCATTCGTCGAGTCGTTCCGTAGCGGATCTTTTTTGCGATTCTCTTGCGGGAGTAAAAATCCGTGGTTATCGAAGAAAGACAGAGGAACGTCGTTACAGCTGGGACCACAAAAGATTGTATACTGAAGCGGTAAGATTTGTTAACGAGCGAACACGAGCTGTCCATTAATGGTCGTAGAATCTGACACTTCTTTTTATTTCGCGAATGGCGCCGTTACAATGTTATGACGGCCAAACGAGCAGACTCAGTCAGGCAACTAGGGCCCTCGTTGCTTTGTACACTTAAAGTATCATAAAAGTATTCAATCCTTCATTACCTCTTTAATATCGCAAGTATAATGAAACGAAAATGAGACGATTAAAATGTCAGCTGGACAGGTACAATTTATGGTGACAGAAAAAAATACCAAAGTATCTACCGTGTTAAATTAGACGTAATTTGTTTCTTTTATTACATATAGCTAGAATCACATGATACTTTAAGGAAATTTATTTATTTATTAATCTTTGATTTTTTAAACAAAGTTGGTATAGCTTGACATTTGTTATAGAGAGATGTTAATCTGCTTGCACATAAAATGTCTCAAGACAAGCTTAAAATATCTCAAAATAAATTTCACATTTTTTAATTTACGATGCTAGTTATTGTAATCAAACAAGAACCACAAATTCACAACAAAATGATATACGTTTTGATATAAAACAACATTTATCAGATTAACGAATTGGTTCGAAACATCAAAAATTTGAAACAGTTTGATGATATACACATACTATAAACTGACACTCATTCTATGCTAATTTGAAGTTTAAAGTTTGCCAGAAATAACTGTATAAGCCGTTCAAAATATTTTTAATATTAACAGGCTATTAATTATAGAATCGACTCGTTTCGTACTATTATTACTAAATGATATGATTCTGACAACTAAGAAATTTTTATGTTTTAATAAGAGTATTGTCACTATTTGTAAATTTGATATTACTAATGAAACTATACTTGGATACACCGCAAAATTATTAGTGAACTGATATGTGGATACACTGCTAGATTACTAATAAACCAATACCTGGATACATTACAATTACTCGTGTTCGTATTATAACGCTATAAATATTGAAGTATTCAAATTATGAATACATAACACCGACCGCCAAAGTGTTAATTTCTTTAACAGAATCAAGTGACAGACTGCTTATGGTGAGACTACTTCAATTTCTCCTGGAACCCGACCACGTTTGAAAGTGCGGATAAGTCTGACCACCGCTACTATACTACTACTATCTCTGCTATCCTTTAAATGCTAAACATACGGCTGTGGTTGAAACTTTTTTATGACAATGAGGTTGCTGCACGCAACGTATGCACTTCTGCGTAGCCGCATTGCAGTATTGCACATGTATGTGCACATAACGACGAAGTCTCCGTTCTCTAATTAATTCAACGGCATCATTATGAAGGTCGCGAATCAACGATTCCAATTATGAATTAAATGTCATTCAGATACCAATACCTTAGTTATTCGTTAAATTTTCACTTAATTGTTGCCATCTGCGTTTACTATCCGAGAAACAGCTAAATTTATTTCAATCGCACCAACTGCTCTTTTAATTATTTATCGAATTGACAATCCATTTATTGCGCGGCTCACAACCGGTATCAAGGATACATAAATTTATTTAAACGCAATTTAAATCTACTCCAGATAATTCTGTTCCAATCGTCCTTCCTTATCGTACAGGATGCATTGATCATAGGTCTCAACCGTAATAACTTTTGCTCGTTGTCAGTTATCAGTTATGGAATAACTATTATAAATGTTTGGTACTAAAACTAGAAATACAAAGATGCAAAGAAGCAATGCTATCAGGAGTATAAATTTAACGTGCTTCACTAACGATCAACGTATGAATTAGTAAAAATGACCGATACGTGAGATTTAGCGTTATACAAACGAAATGCTACTTATTTATAACAATAAGAATAGAAAATTTCAACGATATAATGTAATATTTCAAATGTATTTTAGAAGCTTTTTTAATGAATTTTCACAGGTCCCCTTGCATTCGGTATATTTATTTTGTAGATCAGCACACTTCTAACATCACTAGTAGTTTTCTTTTGTAATACAATAAAGACATCGATAAAAATAAGGTATTTGAATTTGTAAACGAAAATGTTATATAAATAGAACATTTCCATTACTTTAATAAATTTCCCGAACCGTAATGAACGTGTAAAATACTGGAAAATTTTTGGTATATGTACACAAAAGGAATCACCACGACTGCAATATAATATTACAGATTTAATTGAAGAAAACATAAATATTAAACAATAAGCTATATTTTAAGTGTTTATAAGCCTTAAAAATTACGTTGTATAATCACGTTATGCAACCAAATAGTTCTACATAAAAGTACGATATTCTACCATGATAAAACAAATGCACGGTATAGAAACGCATAAAGATATTCCATGTTACCAACATAAAATGAAAAATCGTTTCACAATTTTAATGGATATGCCTGTCTAAGTGTTGATCTGTGTAAGGTAAGGTAAGTAAAAACATAATTGGCAATTTAACAGTTAGTAAATCGAGTTTCGGCACGCGATTCTACGGAAGTTCGAGCATTTCTTCGCGAACGGGTATCTCTGATCTGACCTAGTCACCATTCCTGTACAAAGACCTGGCACCTATATATTATGCTTACACATCCATCGAACTAGTAAAGTATGCAAAACTTCACGGAATCCTCGCGAACGTGGCCAAAGCCCTCGTTCAAATTTTACACGGCTCGTTAGAGGCGACGAATCTAGGCCAGCAATATTTCCCTGGAACTATGAACGCAAAGCGAAAACACCCCGGACAGCAGGAATTCTTTTTTCGATGTAATCGCAAGAAACTAGAACGATCGTATCTCTGTTCTCTGCACATATGTACAACTGTTTCGTGCTTTTATTTTGGACCTCTACTGGGCTTGGACGAAATAATGGAACCACTTCGTACGTTATAGTTCACTATATTTAAGCGAAACTAGGACAAATGCTGCGTTTAACTGTTTTTTAGTTGACTTTGAGCATCATAAGAAATGTTTAAGAAAAAATTTAATTAAAGAGGTCAGAGAACTACATTTTTATACAAATGAATTTTTATGCGAATGTTTGCAAAATTACATCTAGTTTTAAATTACTACAGATAGTACAAAAGGGGAATATAGCTTGAAGTTGAAGGAAAATATTGATTGCAAAATCATCGCTCTACGTCAAACTATTTTGGGGATATTAAGTTTTGCGTCACTCAAAATTTAACAATACTACAATATTTGAGGGTTAAATTTTCGTACTATGTATATAATGTAAATTTGCTCGACGTGATTAATGATTCTAAGAAACGAAACGGTGTTATTCTTTTTAATATTAAGCTGTTTTGGACACTTACCATCAGGAGGCACAAAATCTTCGCTAAAACGGCAAGCTGTGGTAACCTATAACATGCAAAAAATAAACACATTAGTCAAATTTTATTTAGTATCAACTATTGGATAATTAAATAATTACGTATTTTGTTCGCAATCTGTTTTAAGTCAGTGATAGATAAATTAAGATGAGTGTGCATTAATAAGGTATGAAAAATTTATGGAAATTCAGAACCTAATAATTTAGAAATTTGACAATGTGAAAATTTCTTAATGAAACTTGAATATTCAAAAATATAGAAGTTTTAGTTTTACTTTACAAATTCAGAAATTTACTTATTTGCATTTATAAATCTATAAACTTATTTATTTAGATACATTCATACACTTAGAGATTTAGATACTTAAACCGTTGGAAATTTAAAAGTTCCAAAATTTAACAATTTGGTTATTTAGAAATTTGGTAATTTAGAAATTTAGAAGTATGAAAGTATTGCGCTTAAAAATTGGAAAATAATGAAAATTCCAAATTCCAAATTAGCAAATTTTTAAACTACTAAATTCCTAAATGTAAAGGGATAAAAATTTGTTAATTTAAAGGAGCGAAAATTTAAAAATGTAATACTCTAGATATTCAAAACTTTAGAAATTCAGAAGTTTAAATGTGTATTAATCAAAAACATTTTCATCGAAGCTTGAATCTTAAACCGATGAGTATATTATCAGTACCTTAATATCATCAAATCACGTCAAATTTTTAAGATTTTCAAATCAACCACTTAATATGCAGCAATGTAATAACACGGTTACAGCCGGAAGAAAATTTTTACAATTAACGTTTGCTATTACATCCATGAGATATCAATTGGTGGCACACAGTGTAATCGTTAGTGATCTTCTCATAATTTATCGTATGCAAATAAATTTCGCGTGATTATGGAGTACGGTCCCACGCGACGGAGGTTACTATTAGTAGCAGTACAAATTGAAAGCATGAGATGCGATGGATCGTTTCTGACAGATAAGGAATACATATACAAGATAATTAGTGGTGAATATAAATTATGGCGGACAGATTGTAGAGTAGAGTCTAGTTCATGATTCCTATCTTTCGTTGCGAAACGTTAATAATATTCCTTTAAGTGACACAACGTCAAAAATCTTTTTTCTTGCCATTTCTGCTCCTAATTTATACTCGACAGAAAGTGCTGGCCGTTTATGGTTGAATAATATATTCTTGAATGGTTAATTTCACTGCTAGCAAGAAACATAATTTGTTTAAATGTTTGCATTAGTAAAATCTGCGAGTACAGACTCGACGAAATATATACATACTTTCATAATCAGGTGAATTATTTTATCAGGTGAATTAAAATGTGCTACACATGTTATACATATAAATCAAACTGTCCAGCTCTTTCTCATGTCGTAAAATTGCAAAAAAATATTAAAAATAGCACACATTGATTGCAGAAAATGGTATGTTTGTACAAAAAATTAATGATGGAAGGAACATATTTTAAAATGATTTTTGCAACACTTGTACTATTTCATTACGTAGTACACGGTGTTTTCAATCAATTTGTTCAAAATAAAAATAAAATTCATGTACATAAAAATATAGCATATTCTTTATTTACGAGAGTAAAAATGTTTAATCAATTTCATCAACGACAAAATGTCTTACAAGTTAATTATTTGTTTCGAATTATCATAAGAAATGCTTCACATGAATAACGAAAATAGGCGATATATCTCGACTAGATATATGAATTAGTCATTGTTTCGTGATATTCATCATGTAACAAAAATTGCGGTGCGAAATGTCTCGTCCGCAGCATCATGCAGACGAAATTATGGTAGTACGATATCTTGTCCATTTGATTGTATTTACGACATCTTGAAACCCGGATATCTCGCTCTTTGTAGTGAAAGGGTTAATCCTTATTTGAATGTGGCCTATCGATATAACTTTGGTAGACAGGCAGAATTTATTGCGATTTATCAACGATTTTTATAAATAGTAAATATAGTTTATTTTTAGATTAAATTTCTAAAAATTCTACGTAATGTTTCACATATGAATTGGATTGTGTTCATATTTCACTGAATGATAATACTCGCCAAACGAATATTTAACCTAATCAGATAAGAGTTAATCTGGATAATAATTTAGCCTCTGACGAATACAGGTTTTAAGCCATATTTTGTTTTGAGTGAACTGCAGGTAATACTTTTGTTTATTTTCATTTAAAAACCTGGTAGTAAATTTCACAATGTTTCATGAATCGTTTAATGTATTACTATGCTTATGATCGTCAAGGGTTTAATTATTGCGTCGCAAAGTACCTCATACAGTACACAAAATGTTCGTAATTTTATTTGTGAAAAGTGCTCCTCGATTATCTCCAATTAATTTACCTCCGTTTCACCATGGTAGTTAAGCATTAGTATTGTTACATTTTGCCAAGAAAATTATATTACTTATCATAATTTTTGCTAAAGAAATGACATTTTATTAGATTATATTTATAATTAAACGTAACAAACTGGACATTATGCAATGACAATATTTGAATATTACGGAAGTCCTAAAAATTTATTTTATAAAAACTACTTCACAGATTAGAATGACTTTTTACAGGTTATTATAAGAATGTCTTACAGTTGATTTTGTAAAGACGACTTACTATAAGATAAGTTATACTATCATTCTATGAATCATGTATGTTTCAAGAGATACAATCCAATAAGGTTTAAATTTTGACTTTTGTCCCTGTTCCTTGAGATATGGTTGCAGAGTGCGCGGTTTCAGTGACAGGCCAATAATAACCCATTCGAATTAAGGAGAACGGATAATGAACATTTCCAACGTTATTGCTGCCGCCGGTGTTTCTGGTTACCTATATTCTGTAACACGAGATGCATTTGCATTATGCAACTCGTTGCAGTGGCTCACCGCATGCACCTCGTACGCAACTGGGTTATTATTTACAGCCGAGGGCGTGTTATCTGTCGTTGCTCTTAATTTCCACGTTTCCCGATTTCCTCTTTTTACCGTCTCAAGTCTGCGACATTGAGGAAGGTAAATCACAATTCAATACTATATGATTAAACAGATCATAATAAGCATAGGTGGATAATTTTTGAGAAAGTATGTAGACTGTGAAATGTAAAACGTTGTTTACTAGATTAACAAACGTGGTGTTTAATGTAGAATTGACAGGTGCTTTCGCATGTTCGCTAATGCAAAGATACTTTGATGAAATGAACCTGTATAGTTATAGTAGTAATAAAGATATAATAATCATGATGATAATGTGAGCAATGATAATATATATGTATAGGTAAAATATATATACCTATTGCACTAGTTTGTTCATGATTAGTAAAATCAAAATGCTATGAAACACCATCCTGATCACTCACTAACGTATGCCAATGTACAAATCAAATCGTGCTAGATACGACTTCTTGTCAGAGAATCATACTTTGGTAAAACTAGCCAAAACCCACAGTAAAATTGTCAAAAGTGCCGAAAGGTGACTAACAGGGGTTTGGGAGCGGAGAGCCCCCAGCGAGCGAAAGCGTGTTAGATAATATGTTCCAGCTGATAAAACATTCCATATTGTTTTATACAATACACATAAATATAGATACTGAAATACAAACATGCTAATTTGCTTCAATTGATTATTAACATCGATGTCAGTGCCGTAACACAGTTATTACATTTTTTGAATAAATAAGAGACAATTATGATAAGAATCCAATTTTATTCATCAATGTGTTATGTTAATTACGATACTACTGATTGAAAATTTAAATTTATTTCTTAAATTGAATTTGAATCGTTAATTATACTTAATTACCAATTGAATTTGAATTATCAGTTAACCTTCTATAGAATATTATCGTTTTTATTATTATTTCTGACATGTTTCATGTCTTTTTATTTTTAAATATTATTGCTAAAACTTATTGTTTATAGTATTTATATACTCTTATTAATGAACAGGTCATCAATAATTAGCAACGGAAATCAATTAACAGTATATGGATCAACAGCATTTCATTAATCAAATTAAAACAAATTAAATTAATAAGCACGAAATTATTAAAACATACTATTGTTGTCTAAAAGATTAGATAACTTAATGAAGCGTTAAATTTTAATTATCAATTAGAAAAAATTGGAATGAAGGATTAAAATTAATCTTTACATACAAATCCCATTTTTTGTAATTAGCGGTTCTTATTAATGATTGCAAGCTAAACCTTAATTGGAAAATCTTCTTATTAAATGTGAATTTCAATTCTCAATTTGCCCAATTTAAATTAATAACTACACTTCTATTTTCTACTCGAAAATCATTCTACTAACAATTTAATTCTTAATAAAAAAATACACATTTGTCGATTGTAAGCTAATCACTTAATTGTTAATAAGGTAATTAAAAATTTCGAAATTTTGTCTATGGTTTACCAATAACAGATGCACAATATAAAATTTGGATAATTTTGAAAATAATTCTAAGTTACTTTAATTGCTGAATTATTTAAATTTTCACAATGGCGAATAACTAAAAATTCTATAGATATAAAATAACAAATATTGTCGCTGTTACTCATATTGGCAAATATAAATTGAAAATCAGTAAATACTAACTTATAGAAGTTTTTAAAAACCGCCATTTCTTTCTGTACTTTAAAAATAGACACGATACAGTAAAAGTATAAGCGCTTTAAAAAAATATTGTATATTTCTTCAGTTATATATTACAATATTTCAAAAATTACTTTAAACATAAATTTCTCTTTGGAGTAATGCGTTATCGTTTTGCAAAGTTATTGCATCTGATGTTTTCTGCAACTGTACAAAGTTTGAATGAAATCGGTGTCCCAAGGGGCGTGCGCTCCTCTTGTAAGAAGTTTCGCTTTGATCGTAAAGCAAAATTTGCACGATGCTTCTGTACATTTATCATCCGGTATTCAGTGCGATATACATCAAGTCATAATGTGCAGCACGATGCAGCAAACGCAGTCGACTCGAATTTCGCGGCTTAATT